GCGGCGGTTTGTGCCAATGTGAAACTCAGATGGTAGATTTTGGTACTTGCATGTCGCGCGAGGAATGCCATATGGCGCTGCTTGCGAAAGGCAAATCATTGTGGAAGCAAGGCCCCTCAGATGTTCAGACACCGTACTGAAATAAGATAAACCGTTCAAGGCCTAGGGGCCGGCCTGCTTTGCTTGTCGGTAATTCGGGATTTTCTCAGTGGCAATGATTCTAAGATACGGATGTGTTTCGTACAACTCTGGCAAATTTGCAGAAACCACGCAACCAGCGGAGCCATTCTCCACTTAGGCTGGAGAGAGAGGTCTTGAAGCCGGCAGAACGAGTAGGCCCGGATACTTGGGCGACGGGTCAGAGGTCTCAATTGTGATATTGTCACTAAGCAATTCCATCACGTCACTATCGTACACAGACACGAACACAGACACACACACACACACACTGAGCGGGAATTGGGTTCTGTTTTGAGCCGCAGTTGCTAGCTTGAAGACATTTAGAACTTAGGGAGGAACCAAACCGAGATGTGCCCTGGCGGCCTTCGAGTTTGAATCGTTTTGTGGCAGCTGTTCGGGTCGCACATACGCACAGACGCACAGACACACACACACACACACAGAGACGTGTGAGGCCTAGAGCAAGTTTCCATTCAACCCACTAAAAGTTCGGCTCTTTTCGCCGGGGATCTGACAACGGACAGGCCAGTTAGGCATTGCGAGTGCTTGAGCAAGGCTGGCTACGGCCTCTTGGCTATCGAAGAGTTGTTTGCGGTTTTGAGACTTGAATCCGTAAGCAGAGACTGTACAGTCAGACACGACGGCTATTGGGCCATGACATTCAGGAGTTGCCAGCATGTTCGATGAATTGAGAAGCATCGCCGGATGATATGCCAATCGTGCCCCAGCATTTGAGTACACTTCTCACAATTTCCAAGAGTTGTGCCGCCCCAAAAGCCGTCACACAAAATATATTCCCCCTGTGAACGGACGGCAACAACTTGGAACTACGTGAAAGCGTTACATTGAGGCATTCCTTATAGCTGCAAAGCCAAACGTTAAATCCCTACACATCTCTCCTGGAAGGAACAAAGCTGGGGTGAAGCCCTGAAGAAAGCAAGTTGCTTCTTGACTTGCCACAAGTTTTGCTCAGTTTGCTTGCAACGGAGCTTGATCCAGGCATCACGGCCTGGCCGACAGCCTGTCCCTTTGCACCGACACGAGACCTTTGGGCGGCACAGGCGGGGCAGTTGGGCGGTTTCCCGATAGAAAGAAACCCTTTGGTGTCCCTCAAGGCGAGCTTAAGGGCTTTGGTGGTCTTCAGCCGGCCGGTTCCAATTAGGTGTTTTAGGCTTTTAGCTGGCTTGGGGGTTTCTATTTTGGCCAAAAGTCAAGCTTTTGGCAGGGGATGTGAGGACAGCCTAGTTAAGTGCTTTAACACCTTGCAAACATTTGAAGTTTTTAAGAGAAGAGGCAAGACAGCGCCCAGTTCTTCCGAATCGTGATCCTTTACCCCGTTCTTCCAGCGCTTTTTCACGAGGCTGTGCGCAGACCAGGCTGGCAGATCCCCTATCAGCGTAGGGGACAGCAAACGCTAAGGAGAAAAAGAGAGAGAGAGAGAGAGAGAGAGAGAGACAGAGAGGACAGCAACAAGGGTTGCAGGCGGAATTTGACATGTCATAGCACTGGAAACCGTTTTCATCCATTTGCTTAAGGTGTTCGTCGGCTTCGTTGCGCCCAAAGTCTGCCATTGGGTGAACCCCTTTTCGCGAAGATTCCTCTCTAAGAAAAAGGGTCATGCTGAAATGTGCACTTTGTCTCCGGCCACCCAAGCAACTTCATGCCCACCCCTCTCCGCAACCCCCACTCGTAGGAACGGCACAAGACCAAGAAGCGCAGCACCACGGGATCATGGACATGCGGCTACTGCCAGAAGGCGCGGCCACCGGATGCGTTGCCCATAGATTGGATGGCAGTTTTGGAGCCGTAGTAGTAGTTGTAGTAGTAGTGGTAGTAGTAGTTGTAGTAGTAGTAGTGGTAGTGGTAGTGGTAGTGGTAGTGGTAGTAGTAGTATAGTGTAAGCGTAAGTGCAAGTACAGCTGCTCGGCGTTTTGGGACGGCTGGCAGCGAAGCGGCATGCTTTGCAATGTCACACGCCTCCCAGCATTTGTGTTTGTGTTTTGTCTGTGGCCATGCGTTCTGGTGCCTTTGTGCGTGTATGCGCACGTATGTGAAAGCATTTGTGCGAAGCGATATGTATTGACAAGTACTGTGTTGCTGGCCTTGACGTTGGTGTGTGTGTGTGTGTGTTGGTTGTTTGCTGTGTGTGCGTGTGCTAGTCTGTCTGTGCGCATTGCTGTATTTGTACAGCAGCGTTCAAGTGTTTGTTTGTTTGTGTGTGTGTGGGTGCTTGCGTGTGCGTGTTTGTGGTGTGCTTGCGTGTTTGTGTTTGTGTGCCACTGGTAACCTGGTATGGTCTAGTCTTGTCTTGTGGGCAACGCCATGACGCGATTCGGAACATATGTATGCGTCTCCGCAGCTTTGAAGCCTGCAGACTTAAGAGCCAATCATTTTCTCAACACTTGCAGTGCGACACTTGGCTTTCAAATCAGCATCGCCAATTGAGGCACGCGTCAGCGTCACAGTCCTTTGGTTGCAGTCTAGGTCCCCCAGTGCCCTTTACCCTTTTTGTGGCATGGTTCCCCTAAAATAGACGACAGGAAAAATGGTACCCTTATTCTAACCTCTCTAAAGGAGGACCTAGTTGTGTCAGTTTTGGACGGTTTGGGCTGATCAGTGCAGACTCGGCACCCGATATCAAGAATGAACTTCCTACTTGTTAGGCCTTGAGCCTAGCGGATGGTGCACTTGAGCATTCCCGAAGCGGTCACAGCCATCCGGCCAGGTGTTCAAGAGTGAGCACTATCTTGATTTGCACCTGGAGAGGAAACACGTGTCAGAGGCCCATGGCTCAGTGAAGATAGGCTCTTCCCAACTTAGCCCATTGCATGTTTGGAAGCCAAGATGCCGAAGGTGAAGCCCTAGGATGAAACCTACTTTGGATCGAACAGAAGGACTGAAAAGGGTAGCAAGGCAAAATCAGAGTTTATCTCTTTATACTCCAACAGTAGATGGACCAGTGGGAGCCGTTGACGCAAAGGCCGGGTAATTGGCTGCAGCAAAGTGCCACTCAGATCAACGATCCTGGATCTTCTACATCATGGACATTTACCGTAATATCCGGAGACTTCCAGTTTTTTGAGGGTGGCGGTGAAAAAACATGAAAAAACACAGAGTTGTCAAACTCCTGGTTTTTGAGGTAAAACTCGAAATTGATTGCCACTTCCTGAAATGGCTTGAACACCTTGTCATCCCTAGAAATCGCAGTTTTGCGGTGGTCGACGGAAGGAACCCTCCAAAGAAGTATTCTAAATCAGAATCGTTCACCTGAGTCAGAATCAGTTATTCAGAATTCGGAATTCGGAACTATTCCCTTTGGGCGACAAATTGGCAACGAGAAAGCACCACACCGAAGCTCAGCGGCAACAAGCCCGCACAACACCCGCAAAAAGCCCGCAAACTCGCACAAAACCCACAAACTCATGCAAAACAAAAGGAGTTTCTGGAGAGTGCATAGTAAAATCTGTGGAATACCCACTCGAGTTGCGCAGAGTTGCGTACTTGCTGGGATAGTGTACAGAGTTGTACAACTGCGCGCCCAAACAACGAAGAAAGACAACAAGACTTGTTTCCAACTGTTGTCCCCAAGAACATCCAAGAACCACTCCTAGGTTTTTGATTCACTCCTTCCTTTTGCAAGCCACTCCTGCTTTTTGATTCATGTATTTGAAACACCTGAAACTCCTAGTTTTCAGAGGGTCTCCTGGAAATAACCCAGAGAACGGAAAAAATAACAACCCGGAGACGGAGGACCCATGATAGATATTTTACTCAGCACTGGTCCTTGGCTCCCGTAACTTGAGCATTTGCACAGACTTAACTGTAAGTTGGATGCATGTTTCCGGCGACCAAGAGCAAACCACCACGAACTTGTCGCCTGCATCTTTGGTTTCTCGCAACGCGGCCGGGCCGGCGCGCGCTTTTCTTTTTCCTTTGTCTGGCTCAGACCGGTTTCGCCTCGTCCACGGCTTGCTTTTCCAGTTTCCCTCGCGCGTGGTCGCTGGAGAACCGACCCGCGGGCGATATGTCGCACCGGGTGCTGGTGGACGAGGAGATGTCGGAGGCTTCGACGAGGGATGAGTTGGATAAGACCCCAGCCACTCGGAGTGGGAGGGCGGAGGGGAGATGGCGGAGGGCGGAATGGCGGATGGGAGGCCCATGGACATATGGGTGCTCAAAGTTAAAGCACCAGACTGCAGGTTTGAGTCCATGCTTCCGTTTTCCAGAGTTCCATTTTGGGTACCTTTTTTTGACCCACAGCCATATAGCGACATCAGGTTGGATAGGCGGATGATTCGTGTTAAAATTGAACACTTGGGGTAAATCCGGATGTAGAGTTGGTCGAATTGGAGTCGGTTCCAGTTTGGCTTTTGCTTTCGGATCAACTGCAGGGTGTAAGACAACAGCCATTTCGGCAAAGTCAAACTCGCGATCCTGTCATATGGTTGGCTTCCCTTGCGAGCCGTTGTTACCCAGGGGCTTCTTTGCACATTATTTGGTGGCCGGGTTGTGGACCTGTTTCGCTTTGTTGCGGTCTGCCCTAACGGGACCTCCAGGACCATAGCAGGACTTCCCCGTCCCCGTCCCCGATTTTCGTGCACGTGGTAAGACGGGAATGCATAGCGACCTGGACCCCCCAACTGCGGAGATTCCTCAAAAACCGTGTTTTTCCTCAAGAACCAGCAGTCCCCGGAAACACTCTGCTTTTTGTCTGAGAAGGTGGGTGTTTTGGGACAGCCTTTTTGTGCGAGGCAAAGACCGATTGGAAGGAAGCCCTCTTGGTGCCGGTGGTCTTCGTGGCCTTCGTCGTCATCCGTGCTATGGACTCGCTACGTTCGCGGTTTCGCTCGGCACGGGAAAGCAATGTTCGATGGGAGTTGCTTTGTTTGAAGGCGAGGAGGGCTTTGTCGTTTGTCCCCTCCGGGATCTTTTTCAAGAAGCGAAGGTGCGTCAGAAGCGAATGCAGATATCGACATTCAAACTTCTGGCAGGCTGTTTCTTTGCTGCGAAGTTTTCCCGGCCGACATTGCTACAGCCCTTTGGGATTCCATTTAGACTGACCGGCTGAGAGGAGAAAGACAAGTCCTTGGTCACCCGCTGAAGGCGAAACATGCTGCGGATCATGTGATAAGGCGCAGACAACCATGATCCGCCCAGTGAAGATAGCAGCGGTTAAGAATATACAGAGGGTATTTTCGCAACAGACCCCCAGACATGGTCCTGCCATAGGACATCACTTTGTGTTTGTTCAAACCGAACCGCTTGCCCCCAACTCTGCTTCAAACATGCAATTGCTCTTGTGCCTTCCTATGCATGAAGACTCGCACATGAATATATTGTGATGGCAGTTGCAGGTTTGTATCATCAAGGGTACATATGTATATACACCATATATATATATATACATATATATATATATACATATATATATATATAGTGTGTGTGCGTGTCGCGTATGGTTCTGCAGTCCGGACATATGTCCGCAGGACCGCATCTTCCTCTACAGGGTCCAGAAGATTATGGCAGACTACACGGCGGTACTCATGAGCATCTACTGGCCTCCCATGGTGCAGGCAGACGCTGGGTTCCCCCCCTCTGACAGCAACCGAGAAAGCCGGCCCTTGTGTTTTTTGTCGGTTTTTCCCTTTGAACCCCAACCGAGACTGGCCCTTGTCCTCTTTGAGACCAACCGGAACCCCTCCTCCCCCTGGCCAGAGATTGATGGCCATAAATCGGGTACCAAAAGGAATCCGATGCTAGTATGTAATACGTAACGTTTGTCAACTTCAGCTTCCAGGGGTGCCTTAGGGCAAACAGCGCTATGGAGACGCAACCATGACGCTAGGACGTGGCGGTGCATTTGTCGCATTAGTGTTGGGGTCCAAGGGGCGCGTTCGCGGCATAGCAGGACGACTTGGTTTGGTGGCGGTGGATGGATTTGCACTTGGCAAAGGGAAATGTCCCTTAGGCTCCAGATAAAGCGTCCCAAAAGAGTTCGCCAGGTTCCCACTTTCCCTGCAAACAAAAAGGGTCCCCAGCTTTGACACATTCTCCCAGCATTATCTCATGAGAGCCTCGCCAGGTCATGTGCGCCTTTGTGTCGCTGGGCTACGTCTGGCGAAAGCGCTCAGCCACGCGCCCAGATTGTCGGCAGTCAGCCTTAGGAACTTGCTTGGAGGTTTACCCTCTCACCAACCAACATGGAAGTGCACAGACCCCTGTTGAGAGACCACTTTCCTCTTGGAAAGGGCCTTTTCACTTTTTGCACTTCCATGTTTGTTGGTGGGAGGTTTAGTGCCCCAAGCTCCAAGCTCAAAAAAGCTGAAACGGACTTTCCGGGTTCTTGCACTGTGGTTGACCTGCCTGGATGGGTGTTTGTCCCCCTTTTGGGAATTTAAGAAAACGCACAACCAGGGAGTTTGGTTTTCTTTTTTTACTAAGAGCGCCGTGACGCGGACTTCACCCTTCCCCAGAATTAGCTCCCCTTGTTGTGTTGGTTTTGCTTTTTGGGGTCCCTTTGTTTTCCAATAAGGCCAAAAATATGATCCGTTTTGCTGGGGTCCACTAATTCCAGCCTAGCAGCGAGGACGCTTGGCTTGCGCGCTTGCGGAGCGCTTCAGGTCACGAAGGATCCCAGCTACGGCCTCGGCTGGTTTTCCCCGTGGAGTGCAAAGGCATCCTCCCAGGGGGCTGCTCCCTGGCGAAAACAAAAAAAACACGGGAGGACAACCGTCGAAGGGATGGGCTTTGGAGTGGGGGATCCAAAAAAGAGGGTAACCCCAAATCGGGTTGTTTTGGAAAATGGAAACCAGGACTTAAACCTGCGGTCCAATTCCTGGTGGTGTAGTGTTGACCCGTACCCATTTTTGCATGCACTTTGCAACACAACTTTAGTCATTCACAACCCAGGAGCACTAAAAACATCATGGTCGCCGGTGACCGAGCTTCTTCCTGAAGACTATAAGGCCACCTACGCAACCCATGAAGCAAGCGACAAGTTTGCAGATCATGCAATCCAAGAGGAACTCCGAGTCGAATTTCTTGCTGCTTGAGCCGTATACTTTGTAGCCAGAAGTTACGCAGGCGGGGCCCGGGATGCTTTGTACTTGCTGCACGCCCTGTCAAGCCTTGCATCAGTGATGGGTCCCTTCCCTGTCGCCCCAAGTGACGTAAGGGAAGAGAGGCAACGTGTTGCAGGATAACTTTCATTGTTCAGTTGGTGTCCGAATCAACCCTTTTAGGCTGGTTTGACATAGCAACACTCAGCCACTAGAAGGGTCTCCAATGAGTTTTGATATGCTTTGCTTTCGCTACCCAAAACCGGTCCGCCAGCACCCCCCAGACACAACAGTGTTCCCAATATTTCCTGGATGGTGGATTGAGACACTGTTTAGACCCCTTTCGTCCAGCGAAGAGCAACGCAGAGGATGTTTTTTCACAAGGGGTGTTTCAACACCCTGGAGTCTCCTTCTGACCCTTAACAACCGGGACCATCACACCTTCATTTCTCAGAAGTCAGAAGTCAGAAGGAGACTCCAGGACTCCAGGACCTAAGCGGACCGCCCAGACTCCGACAACCAGCTCGCAGCTCGTAGGTGCCGCAGCTCTGGATCGCCCAGTTCGCCTTTTGGGACCAGCTGAATGCCGTGTTGTCGGCCCCACCTTCGCCCTTCATCCCCATGGTGCTGCAGACGCCGCTGAATAACATGGTGGTCTTTTGGCCGCGGCCTCAGCGAACCCAACGCCGGCCGTTCGGGTGTGAAGTGAGACCCCCAAGAGTTTTCCGGAAGAGGTGACCAGAGGACGTACCCCAGCTCGCATCTCAAAAAAGAAAGGAGTTTTTTTTTCGCTTTGGGCTTCTTGGCTTTTGGGCTTTTTGGCTTCTTGGCGTTTTGGCTTTTGGCTTTTGGCTTTTGGGCTTCTTGGCTTCTTGGCTTCTTATCTTCTTAGCGTTTGGCTTTGGCTTTTCGCATCCTCTGCATTCCCAGTTCCTCTCTGGCAGGTGGCGTTTTGGCTTTTGTGGCTTTGCGCTGTTTTATGCGGCTTTTGGTGGCTTTGGCTTTTCGCATCCTCTGGTTTCCCAGTTCCTTTCCGGGCTTCCTGGCTTTTTGCACCCTGACACTTTTTAGATTGTTGGCAGAGATTTAATTGCACCCCTATTTGAATCATCACTTTTTCTATCATCCAAGTTCGCGCAGTAAAATATGCACTTCTTCGAACATCATAGGGAAGTCACCCACGCCAACCCCCCCCCCCCCCGGTTCTTTTTGTATTCTATCGCACCCTTTCTTGAATCATTGCACCCCTGATTGAATCACCACAGGCACATGTACAGCTAACAAGGCACACAACGCTGATGCAACTGTGTTTTGCTGAGCCAACTAAGCCAACTATGAGATGAAGATGTTCACTCAGGAATCAGGGACTCATCTTCAAGACAGGAGCTCCAGCATTTAGTCTTGTTTCAAGTGGAACACTTACAGGCTGGAATTGCCTCTTGAGCACATGTCTAAGGACTGGCCTTATCGCTTACTTCTACCTGCACACGCGCTTCAAGCAGGTCCACTATGCAGGCTAGACGCAAGTGATCTGCGCCACTTCTCTTGGGGGAGAGTCATATAACGTGCCTTTCATTCCGTACGGGCGGGTATCAGAGTCAATGGAAATCAAATCCTAGTGATACCGCCGCAAATGCTTCCTCCAATGTTGCAGCCGTTTCCAGTTACCAGGAGAGTCCACTGGGCAAGGGTGTTTTTTAACCTGGCTCTGGCACGGCCGCAACTCTGGCACAATGAATGGTTGGTTGGCTGGGTTGGGTTGGGTTGGGTTGGGTTGGGGCGGGTGGTCGGTTGGTTGGTTGACCAGCTGGCTGGTAGGTTGCTTATTTGTTCGTTTGTTTGGTTGTTCGGTTGTTGGGTGGTTTGGTTGGTTGGTGGGTGGTTGTTTGGTTGCTTGGTTGCTTAGGTTCTTGGTTGCCTGGTTGCTTAGTTGATGTGGGTGAGTAGTGTTGTTGGTTGGGTTGCGTTGGGTTGGGCTGCGTTGGTTGGTTGGTTGGTCGGTCGGTCGGTTTGTTGGTTGGCCGATGTGTCACTGGTTCATTGGGGGTCCTGGCTGCTTGGGACCATCGCCAACAAAGAACGACACAACCTCCAACCGAGTCGTACTTCATCTCACATTCAGTCAAAAGCACGCTCTGACTCCTCAACACCTAAAACAGCACAGTCACCCACGCCCCATCTTGGCTGAACTCCTGACCAGCCAGCACCCGGCCCTGAAGTGCGAACCTGTGCGAAGTTGCCAGGTGCCCAAAGTGAACAACCTGCTTGCCATCATTGGTTACTGGTCGGTTTAAGAATGTGTTAGAGTGGGCAGAGTGCGCCACAGATGGACAAGGACAACCAAGACTATCTTGAACATCATCATCATAGCTTGCGATTCCCAACTGTCACAGGTTGGCCGCACAAAGCAAGGTACTTTAATGCCGCATTTAGCGTTGCGCACTGCTGTCTTCAGAATACGTCGGGTTCGACCGGGGTGCTATCCGAAGGCAAGACGTGGCAGTCCCCCGACCTCAGTATCACAAGCATCAAATCGGCCCCGTCCACTCGTTCACACACCCGCACATCATTACCTGGGGGCCATGTGTTCCTTGGGAATCTGCTGATTTCTGGCCTCTTACATCTACCAGGTGAGTTCAAGACTCGGAGCCATTGAGTGGGACTTGTGGGGTGTTTGGCCAGGTGTGCAAATTGAGTCAAAGCATCTACATCCTGCATACCAGCATGATCCAGCACGGTGAACCACACAGATCTTTTGGATA